TACATCTCTTCATACTTTGAGGCTATGAACATGGCTGTTACACCAACAAGCTGGAGCTGTTTCTTTGGAACTGGATTATCCTGATTGAGGGATAAGTGGAGGCTATTAAAACGACTTAAACACCATGCAGTCAACAAAACTGGAACGGGACCTACCTGAAGGAAGCGGTCAATGATTGCAACAGTCATGTACATGGTCTCCTGAAGCAGCCTGAACTTAATTTGAACTTGCACAAGCCAGTCAATAAGAATGGCACGCATGTTTCCTGTGACTTCTCTTCCTTCCAGATATTTCGGCCTAAACAGCTTGCTCGGTCTACAAGAGAAGCAGAAAAGCTCACCTTTCTGCATATGTCAACATTATAACAAACCAACAATGCATATTTTCTGCGAACCTCAAGCTGACGGAGATACAAATAGATGTCCTTGACATATTCACTGCAAAGCATGGGATTATCATAGTCATCAGCATCCACATCCTTGATATTAAGCAGAACATCAGAGAACGCCTGACACAGATCATCTGAAGCACAGCCAGAGGTCTCCATGGGAATAGGAGATGAAGGCTCAGACAAAATCTGCAAAGGAAAACTGAAGTAAATCTTTTTGCATTAAGGTGGCTTTATAGATGCTTCCGAATAGCAAAAACATCCAAACACTTCAGACCCCCTGCTGGTTAATAGTAGAACTACAAGGCTTGTAGAACTATATTTCATAGATGAATGGCAATAATGGTTTCCCTACTGACAGGGAAACAGTTCTTGTCATTCATATATATATATAAGCTAATCTGCACTGGAAAGCTAAGTCACATGACTAAAGCTCCCAGAAGTGAGCAAATATGGAAGGCTGCTATAATACTGTCAGGATTAAACCCACACATGTTGAACCAAAAAGTGCATTAACTATCCTAAGAGACTGGGCAAACCTAAGCTACCATTTTCTTGAGTTGTAGTCATGTGGACAGCAGCTTCCATACTACTGACGTTATATTGTAGTGAACGGACCCTTTAAACGCCGCACTTATAATTTAAGCGCCGTTCACACCGCCAGCGACAAGATCCCATTCATTTCAATGGAGCGCTGGCGACATCCAGCGACAGTGACCCTTGGCGACAGAATGTCAAGCGACAAAAGTTGAGAATTTTTAACTTTATGCAAATGAGAAGCGATTTTCACGAACGACAACCAATAGGAAAGAAGACTTTCAGTGGAGCTCACGTCACCGTCTCGAGTGCAGGCAAGACAGAAAGAAAGAGTTTGAGGACGATGGCACTGTTTTATATGACTTGACTGTAACCACATACATGGATAATAAAATGATGCATGGAAAAGAAACTGTCGACAGTCTCAGTGACTTTAATTCATACATTACGTTATAGTTCGAGTGTTGTAATTTTATGATGCACGTTTAGCACTGCTGCAGTTCATTTTACAATTTCCCCTGCATTACATTGCCTATTAGGGCCAAGAAAATTGATTATTTGTCAAATTCGAATGACATTTTTAGAATTTGTGACAGTATGAGTGAGTTTAATTTGTTCATTGATCGATCGTTGATCTAGTAAATGATTTAATCAACTGAACACAGCTGTGGTGATATAAAAACACTGCCAATAGCATATGGTTTCTTTTTAGCCTTAAAAGTAATTTATTCCCAGTCAAATTAAAATTATATATCACTTGTATAGATATGGCCAGACGTGCAGTCTACCAATAACATCAGAGCTACACATCTTTTGTCTAACTACGAACGCCCACAAGCGACATCACAGTATAGAGACACGCAGCGACAAAATCGCTGGCGGTGTGAACGGGGCTTTATATACTGCTCACCTGAACGTCATGCTTCGCTTTAGGAGACTCCTTTTTGGGTTGTTGAACCACAGGCGCTTTCTCAGTCACAACCTCCGCGTTGGGTGCAGCCTTCACCTCCTGTTTCAAAAGGTTATATCATGGTTGAGACAAAGGCAGCTGAAAATGAAATTGCCAAGAGAAGAGACGACACTTGCCTTCTTCCTCAAAGCCTGTCGTGTCTGCGGATTGTTGCCAATCTCCCCCAGCGCGGCCCGAGGTCTGAGTCCGGGCTTGGTCGCTACAGCTGCTTTTCCGGGCAGAGCGTTCTGATTCTCGCTGCTGGCAAGGCGGGTATTCTACTCAAGACAAGAGGGTCATTGGAAAGTTTTGCATAACGAGTATGGCAATTTGTTATGCGCGATATTTAAAAGTGCAAAGTTAGATCTGTGGAAATATCATTTGAATTCTAGAATGCGTTTAAAAAACGCACACGAGGACCGAAAGCACGCTTGAACAAATTAGTTAACAGCACTGATGTGAACTAAAGTTAGTCTCTGAAATGTTAGTTTAAATAATATTTGTGCAGAACGTGCAAAGATTTGATAAAACATATGCTAAATTAAAAACGAGGGTAAAACACCACAGTAACGTTATAGTAACGTGCAAGATAGGACAATATTTCAGGGTTTCCCCAAATCAACTTAAAAGGACAAATAATTTGTTTAAGACGCATACACTTTGAGTTCCAAAAAATGAAGAAAAAAGGCATTTAAAACCAACTTACCCTTGTGACACGGAGAGCCATTATTTCAGGAAGATTATTGCTGTGACTCGATGAACAAACTGGTTGATTCTAGTCAAGCGAGCTCGATGTAGCGGTGCATTTCCTCTGAGGTTTAAATTGTCGCTCTTTCGAATGTGATTCGCTGGTTTCGAAAATCATTGAGCTCCGATTGGCCCAGTCGCACCGGATTTCAATGCGTTACTAGGACAACGTATGACCACGTGACGCCAAGGGGCGGGGATACCCATCTATACATAGATGTATACACGATTTCACCTGGGGGTTCTAAGCATGCGTCAAAACCGCCGCCATCTTGGAACAGGGGTCTTGTCATAGGAAGTAGCTAGGTAACGCTGCTATCTCTGCCTTTACTTCGAATTCATTGATGGTGGCGGACTTTTGTGCAGCGTATGATGTTCACGGATGAAATCTGAACTAGGAAAAATGTTAAAAAAAAAAAAAAAGAAATTCTGTCTGGAATCAATGATAAATACATGTCTGACCGTTGGAACAAACAAAAAAAAATTTTTTATTTGCGTTAGACCTGTCTACTACATTGACGCTGATGCATTAAAGTGGAGGGGCTCCCCTGTTTCAAGATGGCGGCTCTATTGACGCAACTGCCGTATCCAAGGTGAGGTCTAGTGTATATATCTATGCCCATCTATAGAGCTTGTAAGTCCCGCCCCTTCCGCCAACCCCGCTGTACCTCTAGGTTGAAAAATCGTCAATGCAAGTGAATGAGAGAAAAAATTATTTTCTAATCCCGTTTGAATTTTTCAATGAATGTGAACATATTGTCTGTGAATTTTTTATATAATTTTTCGTGTAAAGAATGCTACAATTTAGCGGGTAGAATTTTCATACGGTTAGACTTTGTGTGAGAGCACTTTGTGGACTACAACTCTTTCGACGTGTTTGTGACTTACATGATATTTGACCGTTCGTTTTTAGCCTTGAAAAGCTCCCATCTTGTAACTATGGATGGTATCCCTGTTAAAGAAGCTATTAATTATTTAGGTGTTGTTGTCTCGAAGAGTGAGCAAGGTAACTTAGAGTTTCTCTTAATTTTAATCCTGCTCTTGAAAAGATTAAAAGTAATCTCTGGTTAAGAGAATTGTCCCTTAGTCCTGTCAAAAGCGGAAGGGATTTCCAACATATTGCTTCATCTATACATTTAGACAATAAAACTATCAAAACTATTGATCAGATTTTGTTTAATTTTCTTTGGAAGAATCGTGTGCACTACATCTGTAAATCTGTCATTTTAAATTCACATAAAAGTGGAGGCCTGGATTTTTTAGATTTCGATAATTCATTCAAAATTAATTGGTTAAAATTTTGTTTGAATAAACCTTCTCTGTGGAATTTTATTCCTAATTTTATTTTTGACCAATTTGGGGGCCTTTCTTTTTTACTGATGTGTGATTATAAAATTGACAAATTGCCGGTGAAACTCTCTGCCTTTCATGCTAAGCTTTATTGGCCTTTTCACCGCAGCGTTGTTTTATCTGCAATAACTGTTGTATTTTGTATAAACAAAAGTATTTTTCTAAAAAGTTGGTTTGAAAAGGGTATTGTTTTAGTTTGTCATTTGTTTAACTCTCAAGGATACCTTATGGCGTATGATGAGTTTCTTTTGCACTTTAATTTTCCTGTGACTCCCAAGGAGTTTGCTCTTGTATTTTCTGCTATCAGTTCTGGATTAATCTCCTTATGTAGAGGTGTCTTGTCATTGGTCGATGTACCCATAATTAACCTAGCTGGCACAGTGGTAAAATTTGTTTTGTACAGTCCAAAAGCAACAACAAGTCTATTCGTAATTTATTTTTGAAGGAGGTTGTTACCAAATGTTGCTCTAGTACTTATTGGGCTAAATTTGTTGATGACATTGATTGGGAACGTGTTTGGTTGTTACCTCACAAGTTATTTGTTACAAACAAGGTCAAAGTAATCTCCTTCAGAATATTGCACAAATTCTACCCCGTCAAACATTTCCTCAGTAGGTTTATAAAAGACATTGATGTGAGTTGCACTTTTTGCTCTTTGCACTTGGAAACAGTACCCCATATTTTCTGGCATTGTAGTCATGTGAAAAGATTATGGTATGAGGTGTCTATGTTTATTAAGGACAAAGTGCTTTTTAATTTTGTTTTGCATTTTGAAAATGTAATTTTTGGTTATTTAAAATATGATAACAGTGTGATCAAGGAGGCTTTTGTAATTAATTTGATAATTGTATTACTCAAATTTTCCATCCATAAGTGTAAGTTTTCTAACAAAAAGCCTATTTCTCTGTATTTCTTATAGAATTCAAAAACTATTTTTCTACTATTCAATCTAGTACTAATCCAAAAGCTAATAAGACTGTGCATTTGTGTACTGTCTTCAAAATCTTTGATTGATATGTGGTCTTGTGTGTTTTTTTTTCTTTTCTTTATTGTATTTTTGTATCTCTCCTGGCTTTAAAGTTTGTCATGTAATGTTTTGTTTAAGAAAAAAAAATAAAATATATATATATATTTGACCGTTCATCTCAACTAGCGCAGCAAAATCAAAAATGCAAGATGCAATTAAGGAAGTTGAAAAATGGACAAATAAATGGGGATTTAAATTATCAGTGTCTAAAACACAGTCATATGTTTTTCAAAAAAGCACAAGATCTCACATGTATCATTAAAATTGTATACTCAGCCTCTTGAGCAAGTGAAGGTTATAAGATTTCTTGGGATGTGGTTTGATGAAAAATTGACATGGAAGATTCATTTGGAAAAAAATGATTAATAAATGTAAAAAGATTGTTAATATCCTACGATGTCAGGACAAACATGGGGAGCAAGCAGGGCATCGTTACTAAATATATATTGGGCACTAATGAGATCTGTCTTTGATTATGGGTGTATAGCATATATGTCATCAGCAGAATCTAATATTAAAGCATTGGATGTCATGCAAGGATATGTAGTGGATCTTTTAAAACTTCCCCAGTGTCTTCTATGCAAGTGGAAATGGGTGAGATGCCTTTGAGCATCAGAAGGATACAACTGATGTTGGCATACTGGGTTAATGTGAGGGGACAAGTTGATAGCCACCCAGCTAAAGCTATCTTAAAAGACAGCTGGGAACACAGTAAGTCCAATTACAGAAGTTTTAGGTGGATTGGTGATGTGAAAGCTGAGAATATAGGGTTATGTAAGTTACAGTACTGTTCAACAGTTTCAATCCCTCCTATTCCTCCATGGTTTTTCCCTATACCATATGTAGATTTAGGCGTTCATAAGGAGATCAAAAATAAAGCAAAGGAAGTAGTAGTGAAGGATATTGTTAAGAGGTATTTGGAAATGCATATACATATATATTTACAGATGGTTCCAAGGATCCAAAGACAGGACATGCTGGGTCAGCAGTATTTATTCCAAACAATGGGGTTAAATGTCAAGAAAGAATAACAGATAATTTATCAGTAAACACAACAGAACTGGTTGGAATTTTGTTGGCCCTGGAATTGGTTGAGGGAAATGAGTTAAATAATTCAGTGATTATATCTGATAGTTATTCAGCTTTAGAAAGCATTAAATCTGGGAAATCTATAAGAAATGATATAATTCATAAAATTTGGATGATTTTACATAAGTTAAATGCAAAGGATTTAAAAGTCAGGTTTCTCTGGGTACCTGCACATGTTGGAGTGAAAGGGAATGAGGAGGTCGATAAACTTGCAAAACAAACACTGACTGAAACATAATGCAATATTACAAGTTCCATATGGCAAAACTGAAGCTAAAATACTAATTAAAGCTTATGCAAGATCAATATGGCAGGAGTATTGGGTGGATCATGATAAAGGAAGACATTTATATAATATACAACCAGAAGTAGGAAGAATAGAGTGTAGGAGTAGAAGAGAGGAAAGTATAATAACACGATTAAGAATAGGACACACAGGGCTTAATTCATCATTGAAACTAATAGGGAAACATCCAACAGGGAAATGCCAACATTGTACTCATTTAGAAACTGTGGAGCATATTTTATTTCAGTGCACAAAGTACAGTGAAGAAATAAACCAGCTTTTTCAATCTCTTAGAATGGTTAATCAGAATAATTTCACAATGCAAGGTTTATTAGGGAAAACATCCTGCAACAATTATCACTTGGTTATTAAGTTTCTGAGAGATACAGACTTAGCAAAAAGTAATATAAATATATATATATATATTTTTTTTTAAGTTCCAATATCTCCTGATTCACACTCCAGCCCAGTCGGTGGCGGTAAATGCACCGTTAAGTTGGTTTGCCAACTGCCAAAAAACACAAAAGAAGAAGAAGAAGAACTAGCGCGCAGCAGCAGAGCCCGTAACGGAGAGCCTTGGGACTTCCTATTAGCCCCGTTGTGTATCATCTTGGTTGCAGTTCCATTAGAATTCCACTGGAGGTGATCGCGGGCGAGTGCAGAACGAATGAGAGTCTATGGGGCTAAACGGCTAAATGTGTCTCTGTCACCTGCTTGTCGTTAAATCGAAATAGATTTTATTGTTGATTCCGCAAGTTCAATATAGATTATAGGCCAAAAGTCGAATGAACGAGTACTTATGTCCTTTTGATTTCTTACAGGTTAGGCTGTTGTTGGCCGGAACACACTAGCATTCTGCTATTGTGTGACGTCATCACATTTTTGAAGGGATTTTTAGAACAGATAATTGAACTTAAAAATGCAATTTTCAGCTGAGTGTATTTTCTTAGCCCTCCCTTTTGAATGCAACTTTCAAATTACTTGACAAAAAATTACATCCTGAGAAAAGTGGATTTCTGGGGGTGAAACCCCATTGACTCCCATTCATTCTGCACTCGACCGCGAGCGCCCCCGCAGCCAGTCCAGAACCCGTGCCAATTCTCTTCAATTAGACATTCTCTGGCAGCAGATCCCTCCCAGCCGGAAGTAAGATGACAAAACGAACGCAATGGCGTCACCCTTGTTGTCGTGGAAAATAAGGTGAATTCTATGGTGAATACATCACCCCCACTAGCACACGGATCCCGCTAAACATGCCTGTGTCTTTGGTGCACTTCACCGCCTTCTTTCAGGGAGAGGACAAACTAGTTGAGCGTGGTGAAAGCCCT